CTTCCGAAACAGTTTCGGAAGAAGTTGGCCATGGTGCATGCAAGAAATGTCAGAGTTGTAGTCCAAGAAATACCATCAAGCCCTGCACACCAGAGCGAGATACCCAATGTGGAGAATGCCCTCGGGGGTTCTACCAGGCCAACTGGTCGGTGGATTCCTGCAAGAAATGTTCCAGCTGTTGTGGGGGAAGACGATCTGCCCAGTTAGAATGCTATTATTTAAAGCAGTGTAGAATAACAAGTTGCATCCAACACATGCAAAATAAACCAACCCCTGGTCAAAACTTGGTAAACATCATGTACACACTGACCACTTCAGCTGGTAGAAAAAGACACATAAGAATGGCACATCAAGATATCGACTCCACACCCTCAGAGGGTACTATGTCCCTTACAGGAAAATCAGGGGTACAACAAAAGGACAATGGAACACTTCTGAAAGAAGATATTTCCATCAATAAACCTGCGAAAGTGGAAGAAGCATTAGGTGTCAGATTCCAGACTGACAAAACAAAACCCATCATTGCAGAAACATTTCACGGTCATGGTTCTTACCAGTCCAATTTGAGCTTACCTGTTACTAAACCCAGAGATGAAAATGTAGGCACTGCCTCTGAGCAAAAGAACACACAGCCAACTGTGCCACTAAATTCAAGTTATTCCATCGATATTAAGAAACTACTGAGCATCTTAATTGCAATTGCAATCATAGTAGCTCTGGTTCTTATTTTCATCGCAGTGATTGTCACGTGCATTTGTTGCAGAACACAACCTGGGCAGATCCAAAGAAATGGTTGCAAAATTTCACTTTGTTTCAACTGTTTCAAAAGTGAAGGACTAACAACAAAGAACGATTCAACACTTCCATTAGGTAAGAATTATAACTAAAATCATTTCATTAAAAAAGAGAAATATATTTCTCTACCCATGAGAATAATAATGAGATAAACAGAAGGGAAAGTTGCGACGAAAATAATATGTGCTTACATGGTTCAACCTCTAATAAACAAATTTAACCAATCATTTCTAAAAGCAATTCAAAATCGCTCTTGTGAATTTCAAAGTTAGGTACCTACCACAGATGAGATAATAATGATAATGATAATGATAATGATAATGATAATGATAATGATAATGATAATAATAATAATAATAATAATAATAATAATAATAAATGTTATTTAGCCAGGGTTATCTCTTCAGCATAAAATGCTATCAATGAGGGCCCTGAAAAAAAAACAAAAAATAAAATAAAAAATATATTTATATAACTAGCCTAAATTACAGTAACTAAAAATACACTTAAAGTTAAAAATACAACAAGATTAAAAAAATTGTTTAAAAAAGGTAAAATACAGCAATTAAAATGCATTTAAAAGCTAAACTAGCTAACACAAAAACTTAACAAGTAACTAAAAAACTCTTGATCTATATAATTCCAAAATACGAGTTTTAAAAATCACAACTGACTTAGAATCCTTCATTTCACTTGCAATATTATGTTAACATGTTAAACGTTATGTACAGCAAGGATCAGAGCTAGGACCTCTACTTTTTCGTATATGTAAGAACGTTCTTTTGTAGATGTTACAAATTTGTTTTTCAGTAACAGAAATATGCAAACCTTGTACAATTCCATGAAACAGAAACAAAAAAAGAGAAAAAAAAATCATTGTACAGCAATCAATATAACTTAATGGCGAAGAAATTGACAAAGTGAAAAGAACTTGGGCTAAATAACTATAACCATACTTGGAAATATCACTATGTCAGATATCATCTAAAATATCCAAAATGACATGACTAATTTCAAGGGTAAGGCACTGTGGCTATCAAACGCTTATATAATGTAAGATACTACGATATATCTGCACCTATGATAAGTAACATCATACAGACCAGTACATTAAGATGGCTCGATACAGTTTTTCAGGGCCAATACCCCCCAAGTTTGAGCATAAACTACGTCGCCATAAACAAAGTTTTGGAAAAATTGCCACCACAGTTGTATAGATGAAGATGAAAATTTGTTATGATCAGGGTTGCAACGGCATAGGAGTTGTCATACATACTAATCAAACCCTTCTTTCTAGCAATCGGCTGGAGCTATCTCCCATGATCTTTCACACATGCTTTTAAAAAGATTGAAACTACTATGAGGTAAAATTGCATGTCAAAAGCGCTTCATTTTCTACAGATAACAGCCAAACAACAATATTGTCCATTGTTAACTGTGTTTCGAACAATAAAAACTTTATCCCAAAATATCTCGATAATGCTCTTACAGATTTCGCTTAAACTTCACGAACATCGAGGCTGCTATTGGAGGAAAAAGCTCCCGTGAATGATTTTCGAAGAACAGTTTCCAGTGCCGAGATATACTGCTGCAAGTAAAATAGGTAATAGCGTCATTTCGTTGCTATGACAACTCCGATGCCGTTGCAACCCTGATCATAACAAATTTTCATCTTTATCTAGTACAACTGTGGTGGCAATTTTTCCAATACTTTGTTTATGGCGACGTAGTTTATGCTCAAACTTGGGAGGTATTGACCCTGAAAAACTGTATCGAACCACCTTAAGCCCACTAGACTTGTATTTGATTTAAAAAGACTGCACTGATTACAATGTATGAGATTTCAAAACGAAGATATGAATCAACAGAATCAGATTTTTCAAACCTTCGGACTATAATTTGATTATTGTTGTTATTATTATTATAATAATTGTTATTGACTTATACATTATAACACTTTTTCAATACTTCAATGGAACATTACCTACAACTTTTAATAATATATTCACAAGGAATAAACACCAAATCAGCTGACAAATTATAGTTTATTCTCTGTAAAATAAAGAAGGGCTAATTCATGGAACAATCTATATCATAACTTCATAAATTTAGTCAAATGCACTATTGATTGTTGTTTAACTATTGTAAGTATCAGCAAAAACAATTTGTTTGGGGATCTTCCTTGAAATCTAAAATCTACTGCACTTGCATAGTTTACAGCAGGGGCGGATCCAGGGGGAGGGTGCAGGGGGTGCGCACCCCGCCCCCTGGGATGACCTGCGGCCACTTTCTAATTAACACTGTGCAGTCGCTTGACAGACATACAAAATCTGCTCTATCGTTTGATATGTATTCTCAGCAGTTCACATTATGTTATTTCCTCGTCAAAAGCCCTCTTCTTCGTATTCGCTTTTAAAATTTTTTACGTCATCGGTCAGTTAGTGGTGCACCCCCTGCTAAGAAAAATCCTGGATCCGCCCCTGTACAGTATTGTATTTAAAAATGATCAGCGAAGTCAAGTATTTAAGAGAACTATTTCATATTAACTTTAAATTGCAACATAAACTGCAAGGCCACTTTCTGGTAATATTAATGGTTTATTACAATCATCACATTTTAATTGGTATAATGAAACAAACAATTTCTCCCTGACAAGCTAGATTATTCTCTTTGAGATTATTCTCTCTTGCCTCTGAAAGATAACACAGACAAACTTTAAGTTACAATGCAAACGTTAAGTTACAGATGCTAGTAAATATTTCAAAAACTGTATATTTAAATGTCACGGATGAATAATTTAATGGATTAAGGAATATTAATGTTATTGACAATTTGTTATAAAAATAACGAGAACCCTTTTAAAGCACAGTTTAAAAGTAATGTATTGTTAGGAAAAAAGCGTTTCCATTAATACTTTGGTCCAGACCTCATATAATTGTTCAAAAGTTGTTAAAGGAGTTAACCCTATCATGCAACTTTGACTGGGACCAGGCAAACACGAACAGGGTACTCTAAAGTAAAATATAACGGATTAACAATGGTTTAGCGTGAAGGAGATTTACATTAAGCAATTAAAACTCCTATGCAAAGAAAAACTGCCACGCAGCCCCTCTAGACACACACATTTCAAATGATTTAACCTCTGTTCGCTGCTGAAATCTGCAACGTATTTTAGCTGTCCTGGCCTCACATAGTGTTCTTGTTTCTTTGAAATCAGTCAGTGAATTTTATGAAGTCCCATCTGACTGTGACAATATGGCTGAAAATATCTTAGCTGAAGTAGATTCAGATACTGCTAGTCTCCAAGGTAAGAAAATAGTTTATTTTTCTCTGTTTAATTCTTTTCTCTGGGATGTAACCCTTAGCAACCACTTCTTCAATCCCAATCTGGAACGTCCACTTTAAGTTGTTACTAATGAGCTTTTTTAATTAACCTTATTTTTTCTCCACACCTACTGTGTAATTCCCAAACTAACTGTAGCCATCATTTATGTCAGTATCAATATCAATAATAACTTAGGTCGCACACTGCACATATTATAGCGTGTGTCAACTTAAGCAGTTAACAATCAAACTTAGTTTGCAAAAGGAATTAATGTTCATCTCGCAAAAATATAATATTTTGTTAAATTAAAAATGTATAATGTTTCAGGGTTCAATCTGGAGGATATACCCCTGGACCTTGAAGATGTAATTGTTAAAAAACTGGATCATTGCCGCAATGGGGAAAGATTAACTGGATGGGAAAAAGTTGGTGTAAAATTTCACATTGATCAAGACGTTCTTAAAAACTTGGACAATGAATTCAAGAGCCCTGGGGGAAGTGCCACTAGAGCTTTGCTATGGTACCTTGGAAGTCGAGGTAGAAATGTTGCTGAACTTGTCAACGCTTTGAAAAGTCCAGATGTAAACTATAAAGACGTTGCTATAATTGTACAGCAATACTACAGAGATCAAAGAAATTAAAATTCAAGTTCAGAGATAGACATTCTCAAATTCGTTCCCAGGGTCTTCTCGTCTTCAAATATGGTTGCAAAATATTGGAAATCCAATCCATTCAACTGGTCATGTTTTGTTATGGATTAATTAGTGGTTGCCATAATAATATAATTATCAGTCCTAGATTTCTTATCCAGATTCTTCAATAAATTAAATGATGAACATGTTTAGCCTCAAGTGGCCATGTTTTGTAATGGCTCAAGTGGTGGTAATTTTTTGCTTTATAAGCGTGGGGTTTCTGGTTATCTCAAGGAGGAAATCTACTTTAAGTAGTCGTATGAAAACTGAGTTACGTGAAACCACTATATGTTCAATGTCCTGTCAAAAGAAGTGGGAATGTTGTTAATCTGTTGGGCTTCAAAAGTTCTAACTGTAAGAGATTGGATTTGGCTGTTTTAGTATCTTGTTTTCATTATTGTATTGTATTAGCAAAGATGTGTATATATTTGCTTAACAGTCTCGGCTATTTAAACAGGGCGCTTATGAATTTCGGCTCTAGACATAATATCTGGGCCACCCAGTATAAATAAAGATTGTCTAGTCTTGTACTTTGTTGTAATTTCATTGCATCTAAACTATACCCTATTCTTCTCTGTTATTCTACTGTACGTGGATCGTATCACCATCGCCATTTACCGTAAACGTGATTCCAAATCTCTCTAATGACGTAATTTCTAAACTTCAAAATGTTTGCGATAGACAAGCACCAAAGTTCGAATATTACAAATCTCTCTATAACGGAAGAACGAGTGTGCACAAAAGAAGCAACCAACAAATGAGAAGACAAAAGCGTAAAAGATTGAAGAAAATCCAATATTATACCTTGATCATTAGCTTTTTTCAAAATACTTATTATTAAAATTTTTACTAAGTAAAAGGCATTGCTGGGTGATTCATAGCCTGAGAAAACGGCAGACATTTTCGCGAGGCCACCACTGGTTTTCCCGCAAAATGACGTCTGAGGAACGACTGGACAAATTCCATACTGATGACGTGTCACTACCCAGATCTGGGTAGTGCTTATAATTGGTCGTGCCGCGAGGGAAAATTGTTTCAACCAATCAGACTCGGTAGTGACACGTCAACAGTAGGGAATTTCTGCAGTCGTTCCTCAGACGTTATTTCGCTGGGAAACCAGTGATGGCGTCGCGAAATGTCCGCTGTTTTCTCAGGCTAGGTGATTCAATACGTTGATGTACTACCTTGTATGAATAAACGGCATGTAAGAACATATCCTGTCACAAATTACACATACATGGTATGGTAGGCCACAAAACATGTTTCATTTAGAATTGGTAATATTCAAAATCATAATTATATTTCATATTAAATTGCTACTGTTTGACAGTTATCAAATTAGTTCAGACTATTTCAAAATAACATACAGGCAATTACATAAGAGAATCAACAGTTACGTGTGTAACGTAATGATCATAACTCTACCTGAGATTCTTTACCTACAATTAGATACTGTAAGGAACCACACACTGTGCTTTACCACCATATCTTCGTCAGAAAAATGAATAAAATGACGCCTTCTCGTCGCGCGCCGATGCTAAAACTCTGTCAGTAATGGCTTTCTTGCCCTTTGCCGTATTGCCAGCCTTGCACGCAATTTGATTGTGGTCATATTACCATTTAAAAAACTAACGAGGAAACATTAACCAGTGAACTCTGTCTCTGGAAGGTACTTATCTATCAAGGTATCAAGACCAGTTTCCCTTTTGCCCCTTGGCTTTCTATGATATCTCTGTGTGAATCCGCAGCTTGGCTCAATTGGTACTCCCGTCCAACTATTGGACTCAAAAATCCTGCCAGCAGTCCTGCCTCAATAGCAGCTGTCATTTCTTGCTTCTCTTCCTTTAACAGAGATAAAGAATTCAAATGTTATCATCAAGATTCAAAATAGCAGTCTCGGACCAACAAGAGGTACGCGTTGCAAACTCCAGTCTGAAGCGAACAGTAGAAGAAAAATCTGCATTACTTTAATACAGTGGAACCACCAAATGTAACTATACATTAGAAATACCACGTTTAGTGTTCCTAGTGGAATGTGTCTTGTACGTTGTAGTTGGATCGTCTCACAAGCGACTACCTAGCCTAGTAAGTTTGGTGGTCTCTTGCCTCACGTTGTGACACAGTTTGATTCCGTATGTCGAAAAATCAGGTGATCAATCAATCAAGTAAGAGAGCAAAACGGAGTGACTGAAGTCGATAAAGTAAAGGCACATGCCTCCTATTCTTCCAAAAAATCACACAGTGTTACACAGGTTTAATTTCAACTGGTAACGGAAAAGAGTGACTTCATGTTACCTCAGTAGCATGACCCAGCATAACACCAATGATACTAGATTCCTTAGCCATGGTTTCTCTTGGATTAATTTCAATTGTTCCTCTATTGCCTACAACCTGAAGAAAGGCAAGGCTAAATGAACAAAAAACACCGTAGCTTAAAAGCAGCAGCCAAGAAAGCACAAGAAACTAGGAATGTGTATTAGCGGATACGGTCAATCTGGCAAAGGTAGGCAAAGGCGTTTTCGGAGCCAATAGGGGGTACACACGTGTGAAGCGTTTCCAGTTTTCAGTACAAGCAGAGAATTTTAAAAACTTTCATGTACTGCTGCAATTTCGTCTGAAATAAAGCAAGACGTAAACTGTGATAAACAGCGTTTTAAACGGTAACACCAAACCCCTACGTGTCGATATACTTCAAATGATCTTAATAACACTTCATATGAAAACATACCCCTATGCGTCCTTTCACAGTAGCAAGCTGAAGATCTTTAGTAAGACTGGCATTTGCCAACATCTCCACAATAACATCTGCCCCATGACCATCTGTTGCATCCTAAAAATGTACATATTAGAGAAAGACATGTAATAATTACATTTTTTAGTACTACGTTCGTACTTACTCACTTACAGTTGTATCTCCAAGTCAAGTACGTCTGCCCCTTCTTTTGGAAGGCGTAATGTAAGCCCCTAATACCATTACAACAGTATCACACCCTTTCCCATTGATACACACTGGCACCAGTCAGCCTCGGTAAAAAATATTGCATTTAGATACAACAGGTTGTCTCAGTTTGTATGACCGTAGTGGCAGCATCCATTTCAACTACAGTCGTACACTACAGCGTAAAAACAATAAAAGACATGGAATCTCCATATCCTCTGAATATCAGTGAATCCAAAATGACATTACTTCAACAATATTACTACAACTATACATAGCCCTCTATTGAGTTTAACACTCAGTTCACTTTACAGTAACCGTACCAGAATGTTTTGAACGTATCCATCCTGTCGGTGGTTAAACACCAACGAAGCTCCAGCTTTCTTTACTGCATTTTCACCCTCACTTGTTCCCGCGGTACCAATAACTTTCATTCCATAAGCCCTTGCTAATTGCACTGCTGCTAGGCCAACCTATAGATGAAAGCACCATCTCCTTCAGATATTATGTAAGTGACGATCAGTATTTTGGGACTGGAGATCCTCATGTAACGAGCTACTTGCGTGTGCACGAATGACAAGACTTTAAAATAGTCGCTTGCAGGATATAATTGCAATCCTTATGTACACAGTAAAACGTAAGTTAATAACTGGGAATATTATCCATCGTTTCAGCGTATTATTGTCTAGCTACAACCAACGAAATTCAGACTTTTTTATTCCTAGGTTCAATACTGTGCAATATGGCAAACACTCTCCTGTGTTATACTTGAGACTGTTTGTTAATTTAAGACTCTTGATTAGATTGTATACTATTTTTAATATTATCATTATTGTTTAATATTTTAATGCTATTAATGCTATTTTCGGATTAATCTTTTACATTGTAAATATTTATTCTAAATATTACCAAATGTAATCTTAAGTTTGATTAGATTTTATCAACTAGGTGTCTCCGATTAGTAGCCTACGTGTAGCAAGCAAGAAGATTGATACATAAACAAAGTTGTTCGTTTGTTTGTTCGTTCGTCTAGGGGAGGGGTGGGTGCAGTGCCAGGGAATTGCGAGCCTATGCATAGCTTGTCTGATAGCATACAGTTAATGAATACTATCCAGCTTTATAGAGGCACTAATACTACTTCTCACTTTTCCAACACGAATACAAAAATATTTCAAGGTGCATTTTAGTCTGTGGAAAAACACATCAACATCAAAATAATGTAATAATGTTAAGGTGTAGTGAAAGACCTTCAGGTCAGCATGCCTACTTCTCAGCTTGCTCAAATAAGACTAGTTTGAAATTAACCTCACCTCACAAAAAATATAGTGGAATAATAATAAATTATTATGACATATGTACTTACCCCTCCACTTGCTCCATGGATTAATACTGTTTCTCCTGCCTTAGCATGTAGCCTGTATTTGATAATAATAGTAGAATAATAATATTATTATTATTATTACAACTATTGTGGTAGGATAACTTGAGTTAACAAAAGAAAATAAACACCACTAAGTGTTGCTTCACTTCAATTTTCATTGACTATGACAGCAATAAAAATGCAAGGTATTTAAGTAACTGTATTTTTCAGTTAAACTTTCCTTCTCACAAGCCCCAATCTCCCTTATCTGCCCAGCCCTAACCATAATCTGGAATTCCATGAGGGTACAAGGAATGAGGTTGCAGAAAAAGAAGGTTAAACCAACAGATGTACAATTGCTGAGAGCTTCTGTATCAACAGCTCTAAACAAGTAATAATTATTTTAAGCATTGTTTGAGGGATGGAGAGAGCTGCCAACACCATAGTAACACCAAGCGCCCCTGTTGTAAAGTTAAAATCTTTCTGACTGTACCTCTGGAATAGTGCCCTATAAGCTGTATAATAAGGCACATAAATGGCTGCTCCTTGACTGAATGAAATGCTTTCAGGGAGGTGATTAACACTGGTGGCATTACACAAAGCATATTCAGCATATGTCCCTGATATGCTTCCACATACAAACACACGGTCACCTTCCTGATGCAAAAATGAGCAAAAAAAGACAGACGTTAAACTAAGATTTAAGAAATACAAAATAATTTCTAGTTGATACAATACTTCCAAAAAAAAAAACAGCTGAAACCATACAGTTGTATCCCCAGGCCCCTTCCACCAAAATGATAAGAAATTCTTGGGGTCACTAGGGATAGAGCAATGTAAAAGCTAAGCAGGCTGTTTATTTTTTACTTATTTGCACCTTCAAAATCACAAAACCACCCCATGTCTTTGTGGTAATTTCTCCCTTAAAGTCAGTGAAACTCACTGGCAGCCACCTCTAAGTTATGTGTTGATCCCTGGGTAACGGTATGGGTTTAACGCTAATTCACTCCTAAACCAAATTATGGTGAGATTTGTCAGTCTAACAGTACTAATCTTTTGAAGAAATTCTAAGGTGTTACCATTCAGATGGACACTCTTTAAACTAGCAGAGCATTGCCATATTAATTCTCAGAATTTTACTATTATTATTATTATTATTATTATTATTATTATGGTTTGTTGGGGGATTTTTTACTGTGGCTGCAATTTGGAGTGCAATTAGGGGAAGGGCATAAACTTGAACTTTAAAAAGTAATACCTTGGCATAGCAGGATTGCTCAGATATACTGGTTACCATAATAGAGGCTGCAAAAGTTTTGGGTTAAATTTAGTTTTGGCTTAATCTCTATGCACCTTTCCCTTGTAACCACATAAAAATAACAACGAGATAATGAGTGATAAGAAAAAAGAAAGAGAGAGGAAAAAAAGCAAACTGCTACATGCAAGAAGCAGGTGAAAGACTTGAAAGGAAAATCTCAGCAAAATGAAGCACCAATTTTTCAGTTAAACAACAAGACAAAGCTCTAAATTAAGATCTATGTTAATTCTCCAATGCATTTAAGACTGAATTAGGGTTTCAAAAAGTATCATTCAGTGATCTTACTTTAATTTGTTTAACACCCTCACCCACACTGTGGATGACCCCAGCTCCATCAGAACCTGGTGTGTAGGGTAGAGTTGGCTTCCTTGCATAAGTTCCAGTTCTGATATAAGTATCAACAGGATTAACACCAGCTGCTCCTATCTTAACCAGTACCTACAGAATAGGAAGATATTTTAAGAGACTTGAGCAATAAAAACCACTTGATCAACACCTATCAGGGCACAACAAAAGTGCTGTCCAATATCTTGAGACTAGTGGAGCAACCCATCGACCCATCTCACCCCACTGCCCATAATATAAGTTAAAGTGCCAGAGTTGGCACACGATACTAATGATTGCCCAGACAAGGACATTAACCTATGAAACATCCCAAGAGTTAATAGTGTGTCTTTGTGCAGTAACTATATCTGTGCTCTTAAATTTTGTTGTCTCAAGACCCATACCCATGTGTAATAGTAATGTATGTGTTGTAGTTAATTTTTTATTTCAGTTAATTTTTACTTTCTCATTGCTTTTGGGTATGGTAATGTACGAAAATGAATTTAAAACAAAGGGAAAATAAAAATTAACTGAAATAAAAAATTAACTGCAACATACGTCTGTGATGCCGAGCAACCATTAAACACTTAATGACTGGTCCTGAGAGAAACAGTTAATTTTGTCTCGCGAGAATCTCCATGTTTCCCTATCTATTCGAGGCAATTGTTATTTAGCCCATCACAAACAAAAACTTTTTCTGAACAAATTTATGAAAATAAATCTCGTAAGCAGTCAACACTCACGGGTAATAGTGCGGTGTTACCCGCTGATATCAAAGATTTTGCAATTGTTTCCAACTCAGAGATTTTGGCAGGAAACAGTTTCATTGTTAGATGTCATGTGACCTCCAAGTAACCAATGAGAATGTGCCCTGTTGGGAAAAAATTTCCAGCTATATAACAATGTAAAATGCCACCCTTTTGCACGACAAGGGACCATAATTAAATTTATAAGTGATCTATAAAATCAGAGACCAAAGGATATAATCAAGGAAAATGGAACAACACTGTTAACTTTAAACAAGATTTCCAACTGGAACAAAGCATTCGATTTGCGTTTCAACCGTATTATGTTCACTTCTAAGTGGGATTGGGAACAATATTTCTTGACAATGGAACATCAAGGTTTGGTCAGCCAAGACAGACCAGTCAAAGAGGAACACCTCTGGAAAATTTTCACCCGGACATTAAGTGTTGACTTAATCTTTCAACCAAAATTTCAGGACGTTTTGGCACAATGGAAAGTACCTACAATGTAAGAAAACTTTGTAAGATTCAGTTTTGGCTGGCAATACTGAATTTTATTTTATTTTTCTGTTCAAGTTGACTTTAATTAAACCTAAGCTTCAGGTGTGATGACTTGGAAAAATATGTAGTCTTCCTTCTGCAAATTCAAATCACCCCAGGATTGGGTGGGAGAATCAAAACTAGAAGCCACCACAGTACACATGGTTTGCAGTGCAAATTTATTGGCAAGAGACGAAATAAATCTCAGTGTTCCTGATAGGCTTTACTTTTGAGAATGTTTGACAATGTAAGATTTCGTATACTGTATTTCCTCGATTGATAGTCTTGCGAAATTAGTTTTTTTGCACTAAAAGGGGGCGATTATTCGAGGCAGGCGATTATTTCAAATATTTGTTCACTGGAAGTCATGCCTTAAATGTTTTGTTTTATCATCCCATTAAATAAGAAAATAATCATATCAAATAAACTGAACATGGGCTTTTTAAGAGTTCCAGATTTGGTTCCTTGATTAATTTTCAACGTCAATATCCTGGGCGTCTGAGTTTGAATCTGGTCTCTGATCAGTTTTGTTGGATCAGACTATACTTCACTGACTTCAGCTTCAAGCTCCAGATTTACCGCTGTAGGTGAGGGGTGGGGAGGCCATTATGCGAGGGAAGTGACTACAGTAAAAACCCACATATAAGAACCCAGATTTTTCCAACTTAGCCTAAATAGGTTCTTAGAGAAATGGTATTTAGTGGGATTTTAGGGTACTTAGGTTCTTAAATAGGTTCTTAATTTGATAGTGGTACCAGTGATCTGCACAGATAACTACTACAGGGCATATATGTGATATGGAATATGTTGCTGAATTAAATAATTGTCTAGAATACAGTTTAGATGATAACCATGCGGTAATTTTATTGTTCCAAAGTACTAGAATGCATGTCTTTCATGCTGCAGTGTCCACAAAATGCTGTGTTATATTTTGAATCTTACTGAGTGAAACCTAGACTTGAACTTTTTCTGGCTGTATTTTCTTCTCTGCCTTCATTTTTGTAAAATAAGAACCTATTGGAAATTTTAGGCTAAATACCGTAAAATTCCAAAAAATAAGCCCCTCCATGTATATGCCCCTCCAAATATAAGCCCCCCAAACCACTAATGCAAAAAAACCCTCTGTTAAATCGCCCTCCAAAATAATATAAGCCCCCTAGGGGCTTGTACTTGGAAAATTGCCCTCAAATACAAAATAAAACAAAGCAAAAATGGCAATTTTTCTTACAACTATAAGACTAGCCCAACTGATTTTCAAATGCAACTTTCCCTCCATAGAAAAGCCCCTCCAAAAATAAGCCCCTCAAAAAGGGCCTTAGAAAAATATAAGCCCCAGGGCTTATTTTCGGAATTTTACAGCAGGTTTTTTTTTTTAAAAAGGGGGGTTTAAAATGAAAATTTTAGCCTAACAGGTTCTTAAATTTTAGGATCTTATGTGTGGGTTTGTATTTTAAATATTATGGTCAAAGGGGGGCGATTATTGCTGGTTTGAAAGTGACGTAACGACAGCCATGTTGGTGATCAAGAATAAAAGCCTTTCTCTCCTCCGGGAACTAAACTCTATTTTCATGTAAATTCTTTGAGAAAAATTCTATTGTTTTGACCCCCAACATGGCCGCTTTGTCATGTGGTTGCAAAACAAGAATTCGAGGGAGGGGATTAATCGAGGGACGGCTATATTCGAGAAAATAATACGGTAACCCCTACATTTATTATACATGCAGCAATTTCATACTTTTTCCCACACATAGTCAATATAAATAAGGTCTAACAATGTATGTATAATAAAGGTATGGGGTTATATGAACATCTTACCCAAAACCTCACCTGTCCTTTGGAAACAGTGGGAACTGGGACATCGCCAATAAGCTTCAAAACTTCAGGTCCACCGAAAGATGATACGCGAATAGCTCTCATATTGAAACTTGCTGCGCTTACAATGCAAATGTACCGATCTACGTCAAGCAATTATGAGTTATAAGTGCTATAACACTTCTCTCTTTCATCCAGCAACGTGCACAAACCTTAGGAAGTGTGACTTTTCCCCATTGCAACTTCACGCCGTTGGTGTGACTCACGTTCCCATAATTCCCGCAAGTCCATCTGTAACGCAACTTTTACCAAGTCCCCTAGCCGTGGCCCGTGACTGTGGTCTTTCCCCATGCTTTAAGTATGTTGATTCTTCAGATATTCTTACTCTGTTTAGAAGGTAAATGTTTGTTTGGTTAGAAAAACTGACCTTACTAAAGCTGTGTGCTTTTTCTTTCCTGTGTGGTCCCCGAGCTGATTTATACCCATTCTATGAGGGTTTTATTGTAACCGGTCAGGTGATAGGTTCCTGAAGCGGTTTACTCTCTCTTGTCCTTCGAGCAAATCGGTTCAACAAAACCTACATGGATCCCGGGGGGGGTACTCCCATACATTACCTATACGGGTATGTGCCGCCCAAAGGGGTCGTGATTTTGAAGCTTCTGGTTTAGAACGGGGTATCCATTTCAGACGCGGTTTCTAGAACGGGGTATAATATTTCGAACGCATGAAAGCTCTCCACTTTTGTAAGCAGGCATTTGAAAGCCTTCAAGGACAGATTGCTTTTAAAAATACGGTTCAGTGCGTTAACAAGCAAACCGTTGTACTCTTGTTGCACCCTAGAACGGAGTATAAAAAATTGGTCCATTTCTAGAACGGGGTGTTAGTTTTAGGGCGAATTCTAGAACGGGGTATAAAAAATTGGCCTATTTCTAGAACGGGGTATCAATTTTAGGGGAATTTTTTTCTAGAACGGGGTGCCAATTTGGAATCCCGGGCGGCACATACCCACCCAAAAAATACCCAAGTGCCCCCCCGGGACATGGATATAATAAGTGAGGTTAGCCTATTTTTATTTAAATCCCTGAACATTTGTAAGTTACAGAAGCGAGCTTGGGCTGCCTGTGTTATATCTTTCCCGTCCTTTCTTTTGTTGCTAGCGCTCGTGAGAGCGCGCGCGAGTCAAGCAGGGTAAAAACTTTCGGTACGTCATATCGATAAACATTGATTAGATACCCAGTGATTTTGTTACAAATAGTTAGAGTCCCGAGACTCATTTTGTGAAAAATCATGAGTCCAAGTTCAAAAAACAACGACTCCTACTTGAAAATGCTTGGGAATTTATGTAAGCGGACAGTTAATCTGAAGACAGACTACAAAACTCTTCAGTGCAGCTTACTGAAATTAAGAAAAGACTAACATGACGCGCATCGTTAAACAACAGCCACAGAATAGGATATTCTACAAAAAATCTTCAGATCGATCGATTTTTGCGTTCTACGGGACGCATGCCATGAATTATTTCTGCGTCTTTGGTGATTTTTATGCGTCAGGGATGCAGGACGCAGAGGTAACAAAATCACTGGATACTCTACAGATAAGAAAGCAAATGCTGAGTGGTTTTAGAAGATAAGAAGGGAACCGCAAGATCCGGGGCAAGTGTTCGAGTCCGCAAAAAACCTTTTTGCGATTGCTAGAGTGTGGCTGTGTCTTCGCTCCACCCGCCACCGCGCGTGGTGGTACGTATGCCCTTTTATTGCAATTGAACCCTTTTATGATCACAACTTAAACAGAATGTAAAACTCAGGCTATATTCATACTAAACCAGATAGCTTTTGCGACACGAAAACCATACCGGCGGGCTACTGTTCACACATACGAACGGTGATTATATTTCCGCCCGATTTCTTCACGGTAACGGAGCCAAGCTGCGCAGCGCCGATCTCTAAAGTAAAGAGTCACATATCGGATATAGGTGTTCACACTATAACGGACAGATTTTTGTGTAGCCGGTATAGTAAGAACATAGCCTAAGGAGAAACTGAAAACAAATCCAATGCACAATTTTGAGGGAATGTGACAGGCGCATTATGCGTCCCGCGGAGGTTGCGCTTTTCTTTTTGCTCCATATAGATACGCCTGCCTTTTGCAACTAGCGAACCAGCGAGCGTGGTTCCTTTTTGCAGAGATGTGTTTATTAAAACGCTAGTGTGCCCGCTTTGAGGACAAATGTCGGCCATTCTTGAACTTCTTAGCAACTACTTACTATACTTATAATGTAAACATACATCCATTCAATTAAAACCTTACTTAATAAGCAATCATGTGTGTCGTCTAAAAACAAATGATATGAATTGTTTAAGATGCCGTCTACAAAACCCATACTCGGCTTTTATCGGAGTGGAATGAGGCAGTGATCAACGAGCAGCGGCGAGCAAATGCCCGTACAAGCGAAAGGCAACTTTAGAAGGAGTGGACAACTTTTGAGGAACAGAATTGAAAGAGGATTCAGTTATTCAAAAAGCTACGGTAGGCACTCCTTCAAGACAGTTATGCGAAGTGTATAATTATAAAAGTGATAACTTACATGTAAACAGTATTGTTTGACAATGCCTATTATAAACTATCGCTGTTCTTTGACCAAGCAATCCAAAGTACTGAAAAACTTCTACCTTTGTCTGAAGAGCTCTCGATATGTATTTACGTATGAATAAGTCGTCTTACTTTTCTTTGGTCAACAGAAACAGAGGAAGATAACGGAAGACTTAATCAACCACAACGCGGAGTTCATTGCGAAATATTCCTGACCAAGCGGTTTTGAAACGTGGCCAGAATCATGAGTTTCTTTAATCAGTCTCGAAAGCTCCCTTCACCGACAACATCCAAAGATCCTAGTCCTAAGGGAAGTCCAAAAGGCAGCCCTATGATTGCTACAAGAAAGAACCCGCGGGAAAGTTCTCAAATACCCGTCAGAAAGAACTCGGGATCCTCGAAACCCGCTCCTTTGCTAAGAAGCAGATCGCGGGAATTCATGGACGCCGTGAAGAAATTTGAGGGCGGTAAGCTTCCTGAAAAACTTTTGAAAACGGTAGACGAGGAAAAGAGGGCAGTAGAAAATCAGCTGGCAGCTTGCGAGAACGATTTAATAGAGATTAGAAAGTTCATAGACAAAACAAAAGAAGATTTTAAAGGAGTGCGCAGTCAAACAAAGAAGCTGCGAAGCAACCTTAGTGAGCTTCACAATCTACACAGCTGACAGAAAAGTATATATGTAGGATACAGTATAATTATTTCCTTTGGACGCAGCTAAACGGATAAGCGGGCTTTACTCCACTCTCAAGAAGCAGATTGTCAGTTTCTTGTCAGTGGCAGGGGCCTACGACATGAGCTCCTGCCAGTGGCCAGAGAAGAAAGTCTAGTAAAACTGAAAATGAGGACAGTTTAACGTAATGTTATGTTATCTGTGTAGCCCAAATCATTTGATGGCGTCGTCAGCTCTGGAGAGGGGAAGGAACCTCTAGTTTTTAAGCGTTAATGTTAAGACACGGATCATGATCAGTCTCTTTTCTTGTCCCTGTTCCTACTCTGTTCCCATTTAGTAATCATTTCTTTGTGATTGTGCTTCAAAAATGATAACAGAAACTTTAATGTATCACTGATGGAGCTAAGTACGTGTGAAAATTGGCTCAAGATTCAGGAGGACAGTCGGAATGGATAATTTGCACAGATGATGTCTATACATGCATTTAGTACTAGCTTTTGTCTTTGTCTTCATTTCTTTATTATTTAGCGCGCTGAAACCATTTCCTCTATTTACGTACACACACCCTTAGGCCCTGTCCACACTAATGCGTTTTGAAGAGTATGAGCTTTTGATGTCACGGAAAACTCATCGATCGATTCGCGTCCACACTACCGGTTTTTATGCGTTTTGGACTGTCCACACACGATAGAGTTGCACGTTGTGGGGTAAGTTGAACTCTATGCGCATGCTCAAGAAATCGGATCTCTTGGCAAGCTACAAACACACGTGCCTGTGATATTTTCGGTTACCGTTTTCATTTTTGATGCGTTTTCGCGGACCGTTTTCGACCGTCGTTCACACTAATATGATACGTATGCGCTTTTGTTTTGATCCACTGTCAAGAGCGCTTTCAAATCCGTATTAATGTGGACGAAAGGCCTAAACGCATCGAAATGTGTGCGTTTTCAAACGACAATGTATTGGTGTGGGGCCACAGTGTCTTTAAGAAGACCGTCGACTAAATGTGGTAACCAACTCCCCGGTTGTTTCGCCCAGAGTTCATTGCCTTGCAACTGTACTTTTTTGCAAAACATTGTGATCAAAACTTCTCGTCACTAACCAAATGACCAACGTTTGATCAATTATCACTCTCATCAACTCGATTTTCAGTCATCGCGGAAAAGTAATTTTAAGTTTCATAGCGTTCCGCAGGAGATATCGGCGAAACACACGCGAACAAATGAACTCTGTAATTATTTCAAAACTCATTTGCAACTGATATTATTGTGATAGTTGGCAACGAAATCGCCATTTGTTAATTGTAGGCTCTATTTAATTTGCTGCGAAAATAAAGTTTAAATTTGCTGTAAATTGCTCAGAGCTCTTATTTGATACATTCAGATTTAGACTAAAATTTTGGGAGAAACAAAAACGCAACTTTTTCTTTTCTTTAAGGCTTCTTCGAAGGTTAAGGCAATCTATGACATAACAATCAGAAGCCGAACATGGTAAATGTCCTCTGCTTCAAAGAACACTGACAGTTATTAAGTTTTGATAATATTGTTTTCTTATGATACCACGTGACTTAGTTACGCCGCAAATGCATGATCAAGGGATCGAGTCGAGGATGAGAAGATTACATGCCTTCCATTTCTAACTTTTTAAAAACCAAAGGCAGCAAATTCGACCGGAGATCTGCCGGAAATTGACCGAGCGGAACGTTTTTCGTGTTGCATACTTAACATAACTGCTTACGAAACAAAAAACAGTTGATTCTTATACTAATTTCAAATGTATATTTTACACTCAAAACACTTAATCTGTAAATGCAAATACTAAAAGTAATAATCTTCACGGGCTGCTCTTTCATCCTACAATTTATTCAGTCACAATATTCAACAAAGCCTTGATCTCAAATTTTATTGCACGTTGAAGTGTGTTGTGACAGAATTTGAGATAATTGCTACGCTACCCCAAGAAAGATTTTCCCCTTACGAAATAAAACACTAACACAAAAAACAAATATGAGCGGAAAGTTCTAATATGTCTGCGATTAACACACGTTTGAAGAACCGCGCGTCGTGTACATGGAAATTCACGATGTGGAATTCGGTAAAACGCACTGTTTGTCATTTACTTCTTACTTCAAAAAGTGACGCAACAATACCGGATGAAAGAGAATCTCATGCGGCCCCTTAAAATTTGTTTTGTAAATATATTAACTTATCTCACTTTAGTCTGAAGACACCGTGTTAAATTTCCATACGAGAGCACTGAAGTATTGTTTGTGAAAGACGAGAAAACGATTAGAATACTTAACTATAAATAAGCTACGCTGAGAAAACATTCAGCTTTTTCCCTGAACTTAAGCTTCTAGTGCCCCACGAGGGAAAATTATCAACATTATTAAGTACAAAGAGCATTTAAGGGAGCTACCAATCACTATATTTATCTTCAAGAAGGCAGTCACACCGATCCAGCAGACATTTGCTATCTAAATTTATCGAAATGGAAAGGCAGAATTGTTTTCAGAGAAATGTACACTGTTGACTTTTATTTTTTGTTTCTCATTACAAATACTAACATCGTTCACAATTCACTCCTACCTACAATTGGATCTCCGGCCATGGCATCGTAGAAAGGGATTTCTCGGACTGCGGTAGATCTTTCCGTTAATTATCCTTTTAACCAGTCATCGCGGCTAAACCTGTCATGTCAGAAAGCCCCGCACGTCTCACTATTTCAATCAATCGCGACATCGTGAGCACGACGCACAATGACGTGATTCGACAGATAAGGGTGAGTCGATCAAATCGCGTGCTCCTCAATTGAGGCATATTTCGCCACCGAGTGGAAGTTAATATCACTCATATCGTGTTGAAACAGATGCAAGAAAGTAGCTCAAAGCGTATTTCACGGCAAAAAGTTCGACATCACCAATTTGTTCAGCTGCGCGTGAAAAAGTAGTTCTTGGCTTCAAGATTTATTTAACGATAGCAACCAGACCAAACGGAGTAAATCAAACGCCAAAGTATTGACGCGTTCAGTTTGTTCCCATCATGACCTCAGCTAGTCCTTCTCTTTCCGCTACGAGTACAATGTGGACAAACTCTATAACCGCAGTCCTGTCGACAACGATGGACGAAAAGACACCCATTCCGACAACCGCGGCATCCAGGCGGGAAATCCCAGAACCTTTTCCCTCGTTAGTCGTTCGACTCATCCTCTCTGTTCTTATTGTGATTCTAAACATAGCTGGAAACATTCTCGTGTGCTTGGCAGTGAGGAGGAATCGCAAGTTACGAAGTTTAAGGAATTACTATTACGGACTCTTCCTGATGAGTTTGGCAATTGCTGATATGGCCGTGGGTTTGTTCTGTACGCCGTTTATATTACTGTACTACGAGACGGGGAAATATCCGTTTGGATTCTTCGGGTCCACCGCAGTTTGTAAACTCATTCCGGCGCTGAGTTTGGTATGCCAGGGGGCTTCGATCTACAGCCTTACTTCCCTGACACTCCAACGATTCATGGGCATTGTTTATCCAATGAAGGCTAGATTGACCCTGAAGAAGGTCAAGCTGCTTCTTTTGCTGGTTTGGCTTTTTGCTTTCGTGTCTGCTTTACCGCAAATTATTGTCAATGATGTTCAGAAGCAAGAAGTGCTTGGAGAAGACAACAAATTCAGCTGCGAAGAATTCTGGGGCGACCCGCCGGCTGGCACAATTCTAAGGGAAGGTTACACCTTGTATCTATTCGTGGCAGAATATTTCCTCCCTTTAGTTATAATTGGGATAGCCTATGGTAAAATGGCTATTGTTCTAAATCGCAGAGATGAAGGCCTCCAGGGCAGAAAGTCGACCAGTGACAGAACCAAGGCAAACCACAAGAAGTTTATTCGCTTACTGATTGTTCTGATCGTGAGCTTTGCGCTGTGTTACCTCCCGAATCACGTGCTGTTTTTCTGGTACGATTATGGAACAGGAGAAAACTATCCGTACTTCACGATAATGATGAAGTATTCTCATTTCTGCATCTGGCTCAACAGCTGTTTAAATCCCTACTTGTACGGTGCCCTTGACGACTATTTCCGACAAAGCTACAAAAAAGCGCTACGAAGGTGCGCAAGAATCGAAGGAAAGGCACGTAAAACTCATGCGAGAATAACCCGGCAACTGAGTAAAATGTATTCTTTTAGAACACCGTCCTCGGCTGATCCTGATTCTACCGACATTGAGGAGAACTGAAAAACCAACTGACGCGTCCAAGAACTCTCGAAAAGACTATGAATCAGCATTGAGTTGGCAGTGTTTCTTCTATCGTAGGATTTTGACATTCATGGGTCAAAGATAACTTTAACTGGTAGACAAGAAGAATACGCAGATCAATTTTCCTTTGAAGAACAAACAAAGCAGGGACAATCATTTGCAGACTGGAAACAAATTCTGTGGAAAGCTTCAGGGGGAGAGCTATTTCTCAAAATTTTCAAAACAAAACTGGTAACAGTTGTCTGAGTGTTAAAAGGATGAGTAACTTAATGGGCCGATTTGTGTCCCCCGCGGATCGTTAAAAGAATTAATTTGCAACTTCCAATTATCACTCAAGGGCTATATTTGCAGTAATTTTGCATCAATAATTAGGCGTTAAATACTCTTTCCTATTAGTTTTGTTAACATCTACACGAGGAGGAGAAGTGTCGCTCATAATTCGTCGTGGGTTGTCTCTTTGAAGAGATGCATCGTAACGTCATTGTTAGCAAAGTGGGAGTATTTTGATTTGCCTTGTCAAGTTGTTTGCAAGGTTTGCCTACCATCTTGTCATTGAGGTCTTGGTTAGTTCAAACCTTCCCAGAACAGTGTACTTTACGTGCTTTATGTTTGTTCTAGGCAGTTTGTGATTCTTTGGACATCCGGTGTCAACTAGCTCTCGCCTAGTTATGTACGTATTCCATTAACACTAAGAAGATCGTAAAGAAAAAGCCCCCACAGGAAATTCTGATCATGAACACGTAGTCCAAACAAAAATGGCACATTTGAAAAAAATGTGTATCTGAGGTAGTCAAATCGCCTAAGAAAAAGACAAACTCAAGAACACTGAACTTGAAAGACAACAAAATGTCGACTCTAAAACAGGACTGAATTGTAGTTACGATTTTCAAAATCGGCGACCTTTGTTTCGTCAATCATGGATACATGCAATTCGTACTCGGCGCTTAAGTTAAAAGCAAAGCTATGAATGACGATAAGATTCTTTAACTATAGGCAATATTAATGCTAGGTCACGTCATATAAGTCATTTGCGGAGGCTTCCTTTGATTCTTTTCAGCAAAAAAAATTCATGTGAGGAGCACGAATAATTATTTGGTCAATGCCGGCATGTATTAGCATTAGCGAGTTGTCCATCACACAAGAGAGGCACTTACGCCCTCCGCCATAACTTGAGATCTTTGCTCATTCTAGAGGGATTTAAAGATAAAGATAAAATCAATTTACACAACTACAATAGCCGTTTATTTCTAACTTGCCTTCTTGAAGAGGGGCACGTTTTCCCCCTATTTTCTATTGACAACTAAGTGGTGATTTGCAACATAGGGTCACTTGGAATGGAATTTGAAATGTCTTTGAAGGCAGGTGTATCTATGACCGCTTTCATGCGTAGATTTTTTTAATATATGCATATTTCCATCGCATTTTAAACATTACTTTGAAATGACTATTACCCTTAAAATGAAAAAAACTGTGACGTGTTATTATAAGATAATAACTGCCCCTTCTAACAATGGATCACCGAAGAGTGTAATTACAAAATTGCTTCGTCTTTCAGTAACACCGCACTGCTGGATGATTTTCATTAGCTCCACTCGAGTTTAAAAAATTCCTCGCAAAGTTCGACCTCAATGCTTACTAGTCATGGCTTCAGTATTTGCAGTTTAGTATAAAACGCTTTTCATGATGAGCCGCGAGCGATTTCAACTGTAACTGTGAATGTTGGCAATGAATTCTATTTGACCCTTGAACAACTTTCGAATTCAAGGTGAACGTTTTCTCCACGTTGTTAATTGGTCGTCCCTTCCGTAATTAAGAGTAGGTTCTTTTGTCTTTTTGGCATAAGGAAATTTGTAGAAGGAAGATGAGAAATAAATTTAAACTACTTGAAATGTGCGTGATACTTTTTATGGATAGCGCGATACTTCTTCAATAAAGCGCGCAACTGTAAACAGGCGGTGGGCAATCCAAATCCTACGAAGGACACAACTTTACGAAGGCAGTAACAACATCGTAATGCTTCATTTTGAAAGTCAGAGTATTTATGGTTGACTACCATCCACCCAAAGGCCAAAGAAACACACACCGTTTTCAGTGTTTTGTTGGCATTTCGGTACACTAATTACTGAGAATTTTTAGAATTGTTCTTTTAGTTACTATCATCTGACACTATAGTCAGCTTTCCTTGTGAGCCTTTATTACAAAAACAGACATCGCTAGCTGCCATCTGGTTCCTCCAGAATTATCAAATTATGCTTTCTTTGAGGTAGACAACTGCTAGGCAAGTTTAGGCATTTGGGTTTAAAATATTATTTAAAGGGCTACCTTTGGAATGAAAAATCATTACAGACTCAAAACGTTGCCTTCAAAGTGACACCGCTGCTATCATAAGATCTTAAGATAACTACAAGAAGATCCTTCTATCAACACGTCTTAAAGAATGTAGGCCGATTATTTAAGCCGCTAACATACAAGAAACAAAATGAGAGAGATGTATTGCGATTGCAGCGAGAAATGTTCCAACCTCCGCCCTTGTTGAATAATTAGAGACAAGTGACAAAAGTAGCTAAGACGTAGCTTCAGGCGAATCTCAAGAAATCCGATTAACGGGAGTTCAAATTGAATGCCGTAGGCGTGAGTACGTGCGTGCGTGCGTGAATAACATACCGTGCAGATCCTTTTACGAATGGTTCTTCCATTTTGTTTATATATTATCTCTAAAGTTGGTCCCATTTGTTAATCTTGATAAAAAGCCAACAAATCTAAAGTCGACCTGCTTGCGTGATCCGCGAGTACAGAAAAAAGGGAGGAAAACCCGTCATCGTCCAAAAGGAAAGGGTATTATAGATGCTTATTTCCAAGGGGGCAGAAAAAACTAAATACTTGGAAGACATTCATCACATCTTTAAATACACAAAGGGTTACTGAAGTTTTTAAAAACATTTGAAACACACACCTACAGCACTGGATGTGCCTTGAAAACTTACGCGTTTTCACTTTTTGCAATGAAAACTGTATGAAAGTTCAACGCAAGTGCTGTCTTACGCGGCTTTGCTAGGTTGCGCCAAGTGAAACTACTACAAAGCTTTTGCGTATTTACAACTACTGTGAGAACGGCCATCTGACCTCATTGTAAAGTTAACCAGCAAATGTTGTTTCAAGGTCTTTCAACTGATGAGCCTATTGATACCTTACTCAAACAGTAGTTGAATGCACTGCCACCTAATTTGAAAAACTAGAAAACTGACTTCACAGGACCTAAACAGTGGTTCGGGTATGAAGTAAATGATTTGCAGCTTGATAAATGGTAACGAGACATGGATAACAGTTCATCATATTGGTTTCCTTCAAGGCTTGTCAAGAAAAGAAATCATTTAGGAGAAATTGTAACTGTGCCGAGCCGACTGCTTACAGGCAGCTGCTTAACAAAGTTTGTCTGAAAATCAGAATTTTAAAACAATACTGTAGACAGATCTACAAGATGATATTAACAGGGGTGGGACATGATGCGGCCTCTGACAAAACTCGTTTTGAAAAAGTCGTGGAAAACCTTTGGTGGAGTCATCCACCGCCTCCTTGTACGACTAAAACAAATATTTCAATCTTTCTCTGATCATGAAGACACAACAAATTAATTAGCTTAATTCATTTAATTAATTAATTGAGATCAGACCTACCGTGACTGAGTGGGGACTCTGTAAAGTGCGGATCCGGACGGCGGATCCGGACGGCGGATGCGGACGGCGGACGGCGGACGGCGGACGGCGGACGGCGGACAATAATAATTTTAAAAAATAAAAATAAATAAAATAGACGTAAATAATAAATAATGAGAAAAAAAAAGACTGAATAATAGGTGAAAGGTGTTGACAGGCCAAACACGACTCATAAGCTCGTGATAGTGTGATACGTGACCTTATAGTTTTGCTCTAACGAGGATATCTCCCAGCGATTTTGCTCTTTTATATGAAATGATGGGAGGCTCGTTGTATATTTCTCTCAGTAGTGGTTGATCTTGAATTAAGTGCCATTTGCTCATTAAAATGTTTTTAAGGTTCTGCAAAGCAGGGTGGTACGTGGTAACGAAAGGCAGAATTTTCTTTCGCACTTCATTGTTCTTTTGCAAAACTGACTTCCGTTCGATAAATTTAACCTCAGAGGTGTTTTTTCTATGAGTTTGTGAGGGTGACGTCTAGCGCGAAGGCGTTTTTTGAAGTTGTAAATGTTTTCATAGAAGGATTTAGCTGAGGAGATAGTTCTCAGAAGTCTAAGGGCTTTGCCCTTTATGAGACCTTTATGAGAGAAATGCGTGTATTGAAAAGTCTCTGTAGGTTTAAAATGTATGCGGATGTCAAGGATTCCTTGGGTGTGAAATCTCTCGCCTTTGTAAACAGTTGTATCCAGAAAGTTAATCTCTTTATCAGATATTTCAGCCGTAAATTTAATTGAAAGGTGATGCCTGTTTGCAAGAGCAATGAATTCATCTATCTCCTTTCTATCAGTTTTCCACAATGAGAAAATATCATCAATGTATCTTTTCCACTCAAGAGGTTTAGTTTTACTGAGGTTCAGTATTTCTGTCTCTACCGCCGACATAAAAATGTTGGCAAAGGCGACTGCCATCTTTGTACCCATTGCGGTTCCGTGTGTTTGGAGATAGTTTTTGCCGTTGAATTCAAATGAGTTCTCTTGAAGAATAAGTTTAAGGATTCTTCTGAGGGATTGTGTGGGGATGGGGGTGTTTTCCCCGTAGAAAGTCTGGTATGCTTTGCATACTGTGTTTATTCCCTCTTCCTGTGGGATATTTGTGTACAGGCTAGTAACGTCTAAGGAGACTAGGAAAACGTCCCCTGGGAGGTTTCTCCTTTCTATGAAGTTAATAAAGTCAGTTGTGTCCTTAAGATAGGACTTTTGTGACTTAGCTATAGGCTGAAGTAGGCTGTCAACGAATGATGATATTCGCTCGGTGGGTCCGTCGTTTCCTGCCACTATAGGACGGCCAACAGGAGTTGGCTTATGAATCTTTGTGAGAGTGTAGAAGACAGGTATTCTGGGTGGGTTAGGTGTCTGTGATAACCATTTAACAGTCATTTCGTCAATAAAACTTCCCTGATGTAGTTCTTCGACTATTTGTTTCACTTTTTGGAAAGTTGCCCCTGCCATGGGGTCTTCGAGGGATGTGTAGTTGTTTCCATCGTCTAATAGGGTCTGCCCCTCTTGTGTTTTATCCAGTTTGTTCATTATGACTGTGGTAGTACCTTTATCCGCTTTCTTGACGTTTATTTCAGAGTTGTTTTTTAGCTCTGTGATCGCTTTTCTCTCATTTAGCGGTAGGTTGGGTATAGCTTTGGTTATCGGTGTGTGCGCAAGTTGTATTTTAATTTCTTCTAGATAGCTCTCTAGGGTGACAGACTGTTGAACTGGTGGTTCCCAGTTTGACTTAACGTAGAAGGGGTGGATGTTTTTGTCCTTGCCGTGATATATAAACTGGAGCCGCATTCTCCTAGCAAAATCTTTGAAGTCTGTAAGGAGTTGTTTTCTTAATGCGGTTTCGTTTGTTGTAGGCGTAGGGACAAATTTCAATCCACGAGAGAGCAGATTTATCTGATCATTTGTAAGTTCTAGATTGGAGAGGTTCTTTATGTATTTTCTATTGGATTCTGTTCTCATAGCTCTAATATCTTTGCGGGTTTTCTTTCGTCTTTCTGTGTGTTTTTTGTTCTTAAATTTGCGCTTTCTAATCCCGTAGTCCTTCTTATTACTAGACCCTGAGTCAGAGACCACACAAGTATAAGTTTCAACAGTTTTATTGTTTGCCTCTTTAAGGTCGTACAGCATTGCATTTACTTCTTCAAGGCGTTTCTCTAGGTTAGCTGTTATAGCTTTTAAACTTTCTGGAATGTTACATGAGTCAGATTGACTTTTGCCTGCTTTGACTAATGTATTCTTATTACAAGTTGTGGCTTTTCGCAATTGTGCCTGATTGCGGTCGATGCGACGGTTGTGAAACCTAGTGAGCGCTCCTAAAAATTTCTGCTCAGCCTCCTTTCGGATGGCTTTAATGTCGGACTTGAAGTCCTCGTCTGGAAAAATGTTCGCTTTTGCGTCGTAACGCAAGTCCGGCGGACAAGTGCCGTTTTCCATGTGTCTTTTCAGTTTAATGACTGATTGTTCGGAGCTCTCTATTCTGTCTTTCATGCGTGAGATGTCATCGCGATCGGAGGCGGTGCGGCGTGGACGTTTTCTAAAAGGGCTTCTTTCCGGAGCTCCTCTCCTTGCTTGGAATTTGGGTTCGTGGGCAGGCTGTTTTCCTTTGCTGGCTCGGCTTGTTCTGCTTTGCTGCTGGCGGCTGCGTCTGTTCTGGTTGTCGTGTCTTCGCTTTTGGTTATAACGCCCCGGTGGTGGACTGCGTTGGCCGCTCACTATATCGCCGTTTGAGTCTAATAGAGAGTCATCCTCGACTATGGAGTTCAATTGTTCATCGTCTACTGAGACGTCACCGTCAAACATCTCTTGCAGGTTTTTCTCTGAGTTTTCACTCATAGTAAGGTTCTAGCAAGTGGTTTCTTAAGCAAGACTGCAGTTTCGGAACTATAGCGTTCCTCGTCAGTTGCTACTATGGTAAAGTCTTAGGTGTGTAGAGCGAAAATGGCTGTATAAATACTGGTGGCTAGGATCGAAAATACTGGCTTGCCATTGGCTGGTGGAAAAGCAACCAATAGCGTAATTGTAGCTTTGATCCGCGTTGTTTTGTGTTTGTATTTTATTTTTATTTTTTTATTTTTTTATTATTGTCCGCCGTCCGCCGTCCGCCGTCCGCCGTCCGCCATCCGCCGTCCGCCATCCGCCATCCGCCGTCCTTATCCGCCGTCCGGATCCGCACTTTACAGAGTCCCGACTGAGTGGACACTTTCCCAGCTGCCGAAAAAAAAGCCCAATTTTCGTCTTTCAGTGTTTTTGGCCGGGTATCCAACTTAGTTCGAACGCTAGATGAGTTTTGAAGGTGTGTACCTACAAGCTCTTCGTACGTATATAGACACAATTAACCTACTTCCATTACCTGCTGGGAGATTCAGTTTTGTGAATTGCGTTCATAATTTCTAACAACCAGTGAATCATTATGCTCTGACTTTCAAGAAAGCCGCCTGCATTCGATCATCTTCAGGCAAAAATGCGGCGGAATCCTTGCAGCAATTACTAGGCAACACCTGAATTCGTTCAAATTTCAATTTAAACTTTATCTTTATGTTTTATACCGTATAAACGATGAAGCCATTCATGATAGTGAGGGCATTTTACCCCGCTCCATTTGTTCTCTGCATAAAGTGTTGAAATCTCTAATAAAATTCTAACAGCTTCTTTTTCTTTATTTTCTTTTTTCACGCAGACAAATTGTCTGCACAACGTTTTCAGCTGTTAATGTGCAGACAAATTGTCCGATGAATATTTCATCAAAAACATTACACACGCTAAATTTAACCTTAACCTCCCGGGGAAAATATTCTTCCTTGTAAGAAATTCGAAGCCTCTAGTACATAATTTAAGTTTTCAGGTACAACGGTAAGTTGAAATAAGTGTTAGATTTGATCAGCATTGGAGAGGGAAAGAGTCCATTCATCATCACAGCAGCGAAGGGCGAAGTGTGTTACATCATTTATGCTTTCGTTCTTTGAGGACCTCCGTTAAAATTAATTCTTAATGAGTTTAGCAGTTGTAATAAATCATATTTGATTCGACACCGACATAACTTAATTAAGAAAGCATGGCAATGGCAAGTTCATAGGGAAGCTAGGCAAGTTGGTTCTCGTCAATCCTTCTGCCAGAATACCCAATTTGCCTTAAATTACTTCGCAGTCATTTTATTCGCTGTGGCTGGAGACAAAAATTCAGGTTATATTCCAGCCTAATGACCGGTGCATTGGTCTTTTGAATCGTCACAGTTTCTGCCGATTACGGACAGTGTTTGGTGTTTTCAGGGCCATAGCTGATGAGGCAAGTTTATAATTTACACTATTATTCACTCAAAATATTTCTCAGTTTCTGATTGGCTAAAATCCCGCGGATAATTCATCATAACCACACACAGGTGACCAAATTTGGAAGAGATTTGCGGTATGTGAAAAATGACCTCAATTCTACCGCACAAAATTGCCAGAAAACTGGGCAGTTAACCGAGAAGACCTAGAAGTTTTGGTGGTGGGTACAAAATGGCCTAATAGGCAAAAGAATTGGCGCAAAACGTAGAAAGAACAACAAGAATAGAACTCGGTTTTATGAGGTATTCTGGGGAGGCAATGTTCCACATTTTCAAGATAATCAAAGGTCGGACATTCAAATTCTTATAAGGTTTGTAAAATTGCTCAGTTCAGCTATAATTTAGATTGTATTCACGTTACACAAGACGTCATATGACGTGGTTTCTGATGACCGCCATTAGGGAATACGCAATCTTGGATACGCCATGCATGTTGGATTGCCATTCGCCAAAAAATAGCCACAATCGGGCAAAAATTAATCACAATTAATAGAAATTAATAGCTGAACTGTAAACTGTCGAAAAGAAAAACAGAAAAAGATGGATGGCCCATTTCACGTATTGAGTGCAATTTTATAGCGACAAATTTGACAATATTTCTGAGGAAGGCCATAAAATCCTGATTGGGGACAAAAATACCGGTAATAAGAGTTTTGCTGACACAACATTTATATAACTAAAGGTAAAACGAAAAGCTAAAAGTCGTGGAGCCATCGGCTGGGCCCCTTTCCCGAGAAAAGGATGAACCAGTTATGATTTGTAGAGGCCGGGATAAATGAAAAAATTGATTTTCCCTTCCAAAATTAGTGAAAACCGTAAAAAACCCGTGATTGGCCATTTTTTCCAAATCGACCGTCTACACCCTAAAACCATCTTTTCTTACGCTTACTTCTAAATAAGGAGTGTTAGCCTCCGTGTTTACTTTTTCCCCTCTTTGTTCTTGAATGATTTTGTTACTGATTTTCAGTAGAATTGTATATGAAAAGTCAGGTCTTAAGCCATTTTTCTTATTTGGAGCTGTTAGAAAGATAACAAGACTTTCCATTTCAAAGATTGTTACCTACGGCTTTAACAATTTCCTACTGGTCCGCGTAGGCATGAAAACAAAAAAAAAATGTTTCTGTGGCATTATTTATTTGAACATCAGTCACAAACCTTTCTGTTTCTCACTGTTTTATCAGTCTTAGGGCTCTTAGTAATAAAGACGTTTTCCATTTTCCAAAGCAAACACAGTGTGCAACAATTCATTTCTCTAAGTGTTTTTTATTTGCGGTGCATTAATAAGATAGGATAAAAAATACATTTAGTCTGCAATGAATCGAAATACATTGCACTATTTACAAGCCCATTAAGCATTTTAGTAAGAAAGTAAAAATCTAACAGCACTTACAGACAAACAATTATATGGTCAGGACGAGCAAAAAGAGTAAAAATCTTTATAAGATGTTTGATATTTCCACATAAATACTTGTAGCCTGGATTTTGGCATGTGTTTGGAGTAACTGTAACCTTCAGAACGCACTTATCCAGCTTTTCAAAGCAAATAAATGAATTTTTCTTCTAAAAAACAATGGGATTTCTTATAACAACAAAAAAACATGATCACTTTTGAATCACACATATTCGTTTTTTGATTCGTGAAACTGTTTTAACCGTTGTTTTCAATCTTCAAGTAGCGCTAGAAGATAGAGGCACCAACCGCGAGATTGGAACTGAAAAAGAATTTTAAAAGCAACTTGAATTAAAAGAAAACCGCCGACGTCATATAAATAACGACCTTTTGAAACCCAAAGAGACCTCTCCCAAACCATGGCAACAAGAACGACAACAACAAGAAAGACAGAAAAAACGAGAAAGATTGCCATGTGCTCACTTGTTTGTGAAAACTCAGGCTTAATGGCTTTTTTTTTCTTTTTTTTAAAAAAGCACTTTGTTTTGCTGTGTTTTCGCTGAGAAGTTGCCCTCTCTGGCCTTGTACAATATCAAGTCACTTTAAATCAAAGAAAAGAACACGCGTTCGCATTTTTTGCACTGTTTGAGAGATTAAATTGCCTTTTATTAAAGTTTCATTGATAAACAGCATAGCATACAGAAAATGTAAGTAAAACTTGTTTTATTACTGCCGGGTTTCGCAGGTTTTCGGCTCAAGAATATGACAAAGAGATAAATTTTTGCACTAGCGTGTCTCCTGTGCAATGTTATTTTCGACAACTGAAAAACGCCTTATGAACAAGTGGGTAATAATCGGTTTTGTATCTGCAGCATCTTTTCTAATGTATGCTTTGCAAAATACAACAATCGCTTTTGCAATGAAAACGTACTAACTTTAAATATATATGCGCTTGAAACAGACAAAAAAAAATGGAAGCTTACCTGATAAAAGAGTCAGCTTCGAACCGAAGAAACAAAGGAACATAACCAGACTAGATGGGGTTCGGTTCTTCAATCCGTTCTGCAAGTTATCACCAATAAATCCTATATCCCCTGAAAATTCTATGAATGTGAAAATAAAGGTTTCTGTAATGCCGTGATTCTAATAAGAATAAAGCTAAGTCATATTTTGGTCAACACTGCCACTGACAGACTAATGACAAACAAAACGTTTAATTTTGCCCGCTAAAGCAGACACGAAAACAGACGTACATCAGTATCTTAAAAGCTCCCATGAGAGACTTCGGGCTGGTGAGAACGAGCAATGACTTTGTCCTCAAAAAAAAAAAAAAAAATTGTTGAGAAGTCTTTCTCAGCTCTGATGGAGGGTTTGCCGCGATGCCGTTTGCAAACACTCTCCGTCTCTAAAAACAATTATTTCTAAAAAATAAATCCTGAAATTTTCAGATAGGGTCGCACGGCTAGTTTTTATGAACAAAAGCCTTTAAAGGTCTAGTTTCCAGTTCCCTGTTTGGGTGCTCGGTCACTATATTGCACGTTCTACTAGCTTCTGCTACGCCAAAAAATGTTTTTAAAGATAAAATGATAATTTACACCAATTACAGAGATTAACAGTTCGCAGTGGAGACCCTCGGTTGCTAAAAATGTTCCAATTTGAAAAAGTCGATAGTTTTCATCTGAAAACTGTAGTAAGCCACCTTAGAGGTCACTCTCTTGT